ACCTATTGTAAAAGTCATGTATGATAAAAAAGGTTCCACTCACACTGTCGCATTCTGTACCTGATAGGACATGCTGAACCAGCAAAGGATGAGAGGCTCAGCTGCAGGACTATATGGGGAACTAAGAGCCCTGCCCTCTCCTGTAGCCAAAATAACCAAGTATCAGGACTCACTTGTGTGATCATAATGATTATAGCAGTCCTTTCCTTCTCCTTCTCTAACCTTCCCAAGTAGCCCTTTAAAACTGTGATGGGGTGTTCGTGTGTGCAGATATTTTGAGAAATGTGACGTGATGGAACAGGACTGCTTTGACTTGCAGACCCTGCTCTGCCCACCCCTTCTTGGCATTGCCAACTTCTGGAGGGGGTTACTTCTTCCTTCCACTAGGGTACTCACTGCCACCACCTGCTCATTTTAGGAATTTCCCACTGGGAGGAACAGGACCTCCAGTTCCCCTTCCTAGTTCTGAGGCCTGGCCGCGGTGTCTCCCGCTACCCAATGACTGGTTACCACGTGGACCAAGTAAAACTTTGGGGCTCCCCTGGAGAAGTAGCCACATGCACACTGACTGCTTTCCTCCCAACCCAGGGGATCCTCTTGCTCTAGCATGTCCAAGACAGTGAGGGAATCTAAGTGGTACAGAGACTGAGAACCAACCTCCAAAATAAAAAAGACTTATTGAAAAGAAAATATTTACAAGCATCCTTAAGCACAGCACTAGATCAGCAAACAGATTTCAAAAGAAAATTGGTCATAAATGCAAACCTCTTTCTGTTTTCTAGATATACCCTAACTGATGTTAAAATAGGGCAGGAACTAATGATCTTAAAAAGTTACAAAGTTCCTATCTATGTAATAATAGTTTCTATCTATGTAATAAAAGTTACAAAGTTCTGGGAGACTGCGTGGTCAGCAAAAGATAGCCGCCACAACTGATCATCGCTCAGAAGTATGTTCCCTTTGAAGAAGCAGCATCAAGAGACCCTTCCTCCTCAAAGCAAGGGCTTTTATCAAACCTCTGTCTCCACCCCTTTTACATCATTCCCTCCACACTCTTGACCTGGTCTGCCCAGGTCGCAGGTACATCCTGGAAGCCCTCCTGGAAGGCATTCTGGGAAATCTCCAGGAATCACCTGGAAACTTCCTGGCACCAAATTCCTTAGTTTCTCTACCAGGGCCATTAGCAAATTTATAGATGTAATCTAGCAGGCAATTGACCTGGATTCCTGTCACTTCCAGAGAGGGGCGGGGGGGGACAGGGGGGGACACTTTTAAAACTCAAGGGCAGGGGTTCTCCACAAGAACATTGGCTTGTGTGCCACAGAACCCCTGCATGCATCTGCCTGTCTTTGCAGAGGATTCTGAGGTATGTCCTAGGGTACAAATATACTATTCACCACATGCAGGAACTGGCCACTGAGAATGTGTGCCTTGGTACATAATCCAAGACTCCTGAAGTTCCTTCACATTGTTGTGGATTTGAAGAGCAAGCTTCTCCTTCCTAGAACACAATATGAAAACTGCTTCCTCCTTAAAGCCATGTGGAAACCAAAGTCGTTCCTCTTGTCTAATCTTTTCAAATGAGGATTTGAGGGGGCCCCCTTTATTTGTATTTCTCATTGTGGAGTCACAGCCATCTTTAGCAGATTTCTAGGCAGAAACTGAATCATAGGTCCTTCACCTTCCATCTGCAATGTAAGAACAGAATCTGACATATTTAACTGGGGATGAACAGGACATCTGAGCATTCCACATGTTGGCCGTGTCACAATTCTATTAGGCTCACCTCCTCTGCTGCATCCAACACTGCCTGACTTGGTATAAGAACACTTTAGCCCTGCGCCAGCAGGCCGAAGATGAGGAGGAGGACAATGAAGAAGAGGCTGGCTTCCAACAAGAGTTGGGTGAGATGTTGGTGTCCATCACACGGCGAATGATCAAGAGTGAACTGGAAGATTTTGAACTGGTAACTTGGGCATGAGGGAACAAAAGGAGACGGACCCACCTTCTTGTGGGGCACTTGGGGAGGAAATCTTAATTTCTTTGTTTTTGTTGCTCAGGATAAATCAGCAGATTTTTCTCAGTCTACTGGAGTGGGTTTGAAGAACAATATTTATGCCATTTTGGTGATGGGGGTCTGCGAAGTCTTGATCGAGTACAGTTTTAGCACAGGGAACTTCAGGTAAGGAATGAAAGAGTTTGGAATACTTGCAGTTTTAAGGTGGGAAATTTGTGTTTTTCCTTCTTCTATGTTTAATTTTTAGAATTTATTTATTTAGGTATTTTTGCCTTACTTTTCTCTCCACTGGGCACTCAAATCTACTTTTAAAAATCGTGCTGAAAATTAATAATTTAGACAAAACTCTTTAATATTTTACACTAGCGGAAGCCACCTGCAGGATTTGTGCTGCTAATTCTGTGCAAGAGAAAGTTCTGGTTGTTTCTAGATGGATGATAGTAGATAAAGGATGACTCATTAGGGGACTCAAGCTGGCAGAGGAGAGAAGAGAGCCTTGGCCCTATCAACTACATTTTAAAAATCTGATACATTTTTATCCTGCCCTTCCTTGAAGGAGTTCAGGGCAGCTTGTGTGCTTCTCTCTTTCCCATTTTATCCTCACAACAGCCCTGTGAGGCAGACTGGGCGGTAACTGGCCCAAGGTCATTGAGTCTTCTGTACGGCAGGGGAGGGATCTGAAATCCTAGTCCAGCACTATGGCCTCATGTACACCATGCTGGCTCTTTTGGATGCTCTGCTGGGCATTCCATTCTACCACTAATAATCCTTAGGTGGAAAACCAGTAGCCTGTGAAAAATTGTGGCATTTTGATCTCCTGTTCAGAGGGTTTGAATTTTCCTTTCCTTTGGCAATTGTGTTGTGGCAGCAAGAGTACATCTGAAGATGTTCTGGGCCTGTTCAAGTGCTACACCAGTCTTAGCAACATCCTGAAAGAGAAAGGCGGAAGGAGCAAGTCCTTATCAGCAAATAAAATGGCCCGAAGCTTCCTTTCAATGGGCTTCATCTCCACCTTGCTCACAAGTCTCTTCAGGTAAGGGTTTCTCCTTGGTTTGCTGCTTCTGGTGCAGCTTGCAAGACTGCTGTGGCCACCCGTTGGGAGGCAAGTTCCAGTAACCTGAGAGTCTGACATACAGGGGTTCTCAGGACACAGTCCAGCGTCTGTCCAGAGTCAGGTAACAAGAATAGATACAAAACAGATCTGTTAACTGGTGAGATACTCAGCAAGATTGCAGGAGTACCATTGCCCAGATCCCATTATGATTTATCAGTCTCTTCCAGCATTTCCTTACCCTTCTATCTCAGTGGGTTCCATTTCGGATTGGCCTTCTCCTTTCTCTCCTCCCCTTCCCTCTTATCAGACAGTTATACATTACTCCCCCCTGAGATTTCATGCCATCTTTAACTGTATTCTTGGTGATATTTATTATGTACTTTATTGTATTTTTATCAATGATGTTACCTGCTCTGAGCCTGGTTACAGGGGAGAGTGGGTTATAAATCCAGTAAATGAAATGAAATGAAGACAAGGCAGTACATGACAAAGACTTTTATATCTGAGTGTGAAGTTTGCCATAAATAACCCTTCTTGCTGTCTTGCCCTTAGTCTCTTAGTGTTTGCTAATTTGCATTTTTATTTTTTAATTTATTATTAAATTTATACTCCGCCCTCCCCACAAAGGGCTCAGGACAGCTTCTAATTTTAATTCTTGCTTCTTTCTTAAAAGAACTGAGGGCTGTGTATGTGGTGTGCCCCCTTCACCCAGCTGTATCCTCACAAAAACCCTGTGAGGTACGATAAACTGAGACAGATGATTGGGCAGTCTGAGCTGGAGGCTAAAAACTGTAAGCTAGCTCACACTAACAGCTTAGAGGGAACACTGCCGCCCTCCCCACAAAGGGCTCTGGGCGGCTTCTAATTTTAATTCTTGCTTCTTTCTTAAAAGAACTGAGGGCTGTGTATGTGGTGTTTCCCCTTCACCCAGCTGTATCCTCACAAAAACCCTGTGAGGTACGATAAACTGAGACAGATGATTGGGCAGTCATATCATTACCCTTTACTGATGTTTGGGCAATTTTCTGATGCTTCCAACTGCCTGCATCTGCAGTAGATACCCTACTACCCTACTTTTTTTGGACTTTTGTTTATCTTCACTGCACATGAAAGAGTCTAGAACCTCTGACCTCCCCCACCATCCATTAAAACACCCAAGCTGCTCAAGTCACTGACACCGAGAGCTACACCTGATTTATGATGCCAGGTCTCTCTTTGCTGAACACCTGCCTCTTCCCCCTCCCCTTGTGTAATTTTCTGTGTAACAATGAGGATACCTGTTTTGACTAGTATCTTCTGCAGACTACAAGTCTGAATCTGGTGCTGTGTGGAAATGTTTGTTTAGATACCCCATGATCAGTATTGGGGAGACCCTTTCTGCATTCTGGGACTTTTCTCTTTTCTGTTTAGTTACTTTCTACAGTAGATCTCCTGTAATTGGCAAAATCTTCTGTGTGTATGACATACCCCTTCCACTTCCCTCCCTCAGAGGCAAGATTTCCCCCCCGTTTCTATTTCCCTTCACTGACTGAGCAGCCCTGGTAACGTATTTTTTCTTCCTTTGAAGAAACCTTGTCTTTCCCACCCTGTTAGGATGGCATACTTCGGCTATTTGCTCAGCCCAGGGGTAGGATTGCCCTATTGAAAATGGCACTTGAGACAGTTTTAAAATTCAAAAATAACAAAAGGTTTTAATTAACATCATAGGGAAAGGACAGGTGAAATCAGGGGTTGAAGTTACTGAGGTAAAACTGTTACAAGCACAGAGTTTTGTTCTTTATATCAGCCTAATGAAAAGTTCTTAATTT